GTGATCCCTGTGTCCCACAGCACCGGGGTGATCCTTGTGTCCCACAGCACCGAGGTGATCCCTGTGTCCCACAACACTGGGGTGATCCCTGTGTCCCACAGCACCGGGGTGATCCTTGTGTCCCACAGCACCGGGGTGATCCCTGTGTCCCACAGCACCGAGGTGATCCCTGTGTCCCACAGCACCGAGGTGATCCCTGTGTCCCACAGCACCGAGGTGATCCCTGTGTCCCACAGCACCGAGGTGATCCCTGTGTCCCACAGCACCGAGGTGATCCCTGTATCCCACAGCACTGGGGTGACCTCTGTGTCCCATAGCTCTTCCAGTTACTCCCCCCCAGGCGCTGAGGTGATCCTGGTGTCCCAGAGCCCTTCCAGCGACTCCCACCAGGACGCCGAGGACACTGAGGTGATCCCTGAGGTGATCCCGGTGTCCCCGAGCCCTCCCAGTGCCTCCCCCCAGGAGCAGCAGGGCCGTCCCCAGCTCAGATCCCCGCGTGCCGCTCCCGACCCCAAACACCAGCGGCCTGGAAGACGAGCCGCCTTCACCGGGGGGGCGGCGCCCAACCAGACCCTTCCCGCCGCGGGAAAACCGGGATTCAACGGCTCCGCCACCGCCGCCGCTCCCAGGGAGAGAACCTCCGGAATTCCCAACCAGAGCGGCGTGAGGCTGGGATGGGCCGGGGAGAGGCAGCGCTGCGCCGTGGCCCTGGATCACTCCTACGCCGTGGTGGACCCACTGGAGCTGCGCCGGAGAGGCACCAATCCCCCGGGAACGAATCCCCCAGGAACGCCCACCTCCAGATCGGCCCCCGCCCAGAACGGCACCGGGAGAGCCCGGGCGGGCCCGCTGGTGGGGAAGGTGCTGCCGTTCCGGCGCCAGCCCGGCGGGTCCCGCCCGCCCTGGGTCCCCGAGGGCGCGAGCTGCAGGACGGGCTCAGCCCGGGACAAGGAGGACTTCGCCAAGTGCCACACGGTGAAGGTGCGGGGCAAGTCCCTGAAGGTGACGCTCCAGTGGGACGGGCACTACGCCCACAACCTGGACACCCGCTACACCAACAACATCCTGGAGAGATCCGTCATCCGCGCCCTGCACGGGTGAGTCGGCCCCGAGTCTGGAAAAGCCTTTGGGAAGGCGTTGGAGTTGCTCTTTGTTTTTTCGTTTTTGCTTAGTGCGGGAATGGGTTTTGCTCCCCCTGCTCGGTTGGGTGGGTTTTCCTTGGAGAAAAGGAGGGATTTGGGAGGGGTGGGGGGTGACAAGTTGGATGTGACCAGCTCAGAAATCCACCCGTGTTCCGGGCTGATCCCACAGCCAGGGGAGGGGGGATTCTGCCCCTCTGCCTGGAATCCAGCCCTGGGGAACAGCAGGAGGACGTGGAGCTGCTGGAGCGAATCCAGAGGAAGCCATGGATCTGCTCCCAGGGCTGGATCCCTCTGGGCTGGATCCCTCTGCTCTGGAGCCAGGCTGGGAGAGCTGAGAATGTTCATCCTGGAGAAGAGAAGGCTCCAGGGAGAGCTGAGAGCCCCTTGCAGGGCCTAAAGGGGCTCCAGGAGAGCTGGAGAGGGACTGGGGACAAGGCCTGGAGGGACAGGACGCGGGGAATGGCTTCCCAGTGCCAGAGGGCAGGGTTAGGTGGGATATTGGGAAGGACTTCCTGGCTAGGAGGGTGGTGAAGGGCTGGAATGGATTTCCCAGGGAAGCTGTGGCTGTCCCTGGATCCCTGGAAGTGTCCAAGGCCAGGTTGAACTGGGCTCGGAGCAACCTGGTCCAGGGGGATTGGACAAGATTACGCTGAGAGGTCCCTCCCAACCCAAACCATTCCATGATTCCCATGGCTCTGCAGCCAGAATTGGCTCCCAAAGCCACCACCCCAAGTCCTCCAACCAACCCTTGGGATCCTCTACTTTTACTTTTATTTCCTTTTCAAAAAAAAAACTGGAAACTCCCTCAGCCCATCCGTAGCCGGCGATCCCCGGCTCCCTCAGCGCCGAGCCCACGGAGACGTTCCGAGCGTGCGTTTTCCCTTCCCTTTTCCCAGGCCCTGGGACTGCAGCCTCCCCGAGACCGTGGAGGACATGAAGCTGATCCTGCACACGTGGGTGGCCCTGTTCTACAGGAGGCCCTCGGCGCAGCTCAACAGCTCGCGGAAGGTGGTGGAGCACCGCGACCCCAAGAAGTACGTCCTGCTCAACAGCTCCCAGCGCTTCTGGGACCTCAGCGACGACGACCTCGAGCCCCACGGCCGCAAGACGTGCCCGGCCGACTCCAGGTCCGACCCCGACCAGACTCCCAGCAGCTCCGTGGATCCCGGCGCTCCCAGAAAAGGGTCTTCCCGCCGGGAGAAGGGCCGGCCGCGCTTGCGGAGTGACGCCAACGGCGCTGCCGGAGGTGTGGACAGCACGGTGTCCTCCTCCTCCGGGGAGCTGCCCGGCGAGGAGGAGGAGCCTTCCTCCACCAGCTGTCCGGAGAGCATTCCCGAGGAGAGCCTGGATGAGGGAGAGGGGCAACCGGGAATCCCCGAGGAGAGCCTGGATGAGGGAGAGGGGCAACCGGGAATCCCCGAGGACGTCTCGAGCGTCACCGCGGTGAGTGTGGGGTCGGGGAGGACACAGCTCAGCAAGGCACATTCCTGCTCCTGCTCCCAGAGGAGTGGGATGGATGTCCTGCTTTGGGGACTCTCCTGGAGGCAGGGAATGCGTGTCCCAAATATCCTCCAGGATTTATTTGGGACACACTCGGAGCCACCCATAAAAGAAGCTTTCAGGCCACAGTCCAGCTGTGGATGTTCCTCTTGGATTGAGGTGGCATTCCCAGCCTCTGGCATGAGCTGCCTATCCCTATCCAGGGGAGCAGGGCCTTTATATGGATGCTCTCCAAGAATCCCAAAGAACTAAATGCCTGTTCCTGGTTGGAGTGTGAGCTCAGGCAAGGTGTGAGCCCTTAACTGAGGGAAGAGAGGAACCACAAACATCCCGTCCCATTCCCAGGCAGGGAATCCTTTGCAGGCTTCCCCTCATCCCTGTGGGGAGATCCATTAATGTTCCATTCTGGAGAGAGCTTTTCAATCCAATTTTTGCCGTTCCTCCAGCCTGCATAGGGTCAGGAGTGGATAAACACAAACCAGGGGCATTTTCCGAGCCTGAATTCCGGGCCTAAAATCTTTAATTTAAAGCTTCTGCTCCGAACAAAGGAGCAGCTCCCACGGGAAAAATCCTGGGGTTTTTTGTTTGGTTGGTTTTTTTTTTTGCTCCTCCTGCAGGGGCATCTCAGCCCCTGTGTTTGCCTCCCATGAGGAATAATAACCTCTGGATTGTGTCGTTCCAGGAGGAGCCGCCGGATGCCACGATCACCCCCGGCCCTTCCGAGGAGCCGGGACGTGCCAGCGAGCGCCCGGCTGTGCCAGGCATGGAAAACTCCCGCAGCCCGGCCCCCAATTCCAGTGCAGCTCCGTGCACAGACAGCCAGGATGGAATTCCAGGAGACGGGGAGCAGCAGGAGAGCGAGCGGGAGGCAGGAGCAGGGCGTGGTTCTCCCAGGGATTCGGAGAGCGCGGGAGATGCCGGACGCGGCACGGAGGTTGAGGACAGCAGGGACAGCAGCCGGGCCACCGGTGATCCACGGGATTCCATGCCCTTGGAAGCGAGTCCTGGAAGTGCCAGCCATCCGCGATGTGCCCGCGATTCCGTGCCCTTGGAAGCGAGTCCCTGGAGTGCACATCTTGCCGGAGCCAGCGAGGAAGGGCTGGAATCACAAGACCCCTTCGGACACCTGGAGAAAGAGGAGGGAGAGTTGGAGGAGGACAAGGAGGAGAACGAGGAGGACTTTGAGGAAGTCCTGGGGTCTGTGGATTTGGTGTTGTCCGAGAGCAGCGACACCGAGATGGAGAGTGAGCACAGCGACCAGAAAACAGGGAATTCCCCACTTCCAGAGGACTTCGGTGCTCCCGGAGAGGACTCTGTGCCCAGCCCCTCCTCCTTGGCATTGCCCTGCTTGGGCAGCTCCACACTGGTGATGTCTGACGGGACTTGGACTGGGAATTGGAGTGGGATTGACTCTCCAGGGCTTCCTGGGGAGAGGGCACCGGGTGTGGATGAGCCCCCAGAGCCCTGGGATGCTCCGGCCACTCCGTGTTCGGAGGCAGATGGTGTTGGTGTGGCCAGTCCAGCCCATGTGGGGTCACCCTGGGACAGTGGGGAGATGATCCCACCCGATCCAGGCCTTTTCCATGGGGCACAGCCAGACAGTGTTACAGGCAGCCCAGAACCTGCTGGAGAGACACTGGGGAATGACTTGGAGCAGAAAGACAGGGATCATGTTACTGCTGAAGAAAAGTGGGAATCTTCAGATGTGGGGTCACCCCGTGACAGTGGAGAGACGTTCCCACCTGATCCAGGCCTTTTCCATGAGGCACAGCCAGTCTGTGGAGCTGCTGGAGAGACGCTTGGGAATGACTTGGAGCAGAAAGACAGGGATCACGTGCCCGCTGAAGAAAGGTGGGAATCTTCGGATGTGGGGTCACCCCATGGCAGTGGAGAGACGTTCCCACCTGATCCCGGCCTTTTCTATGGAGCACAGCCAGACAGTGTTACAGGCAGCTCTGGAGCTGCTGGAGAGACGCTCGGGAATGACTTGGAGCAGAAGGACGGGGATCACGTGCCCGCTGCCGGGAACAGGGATGGCCTGGAGTCCCCACACAGCCAGGGACTGGCACTACCCTTGTCCCCTCACTCCAACTCTGCCTGCCGGATGTCTCCCGATGGATCCATCGATCCCAGAGCTGCTCCAGAGGACCAGGAGACCACGGCAGGCTTCCCGTCGCCGTCACGGCGCGACCTGGGCGGGAGCAGCCGCTTTTCCTGGGAACAGGGAGATGATGTCGGTGCTGATCCTGGGGAGCCAAACCAGGAAAGGAGCGAGGTTTTGGGGGAAGAAGAGCCTGGCAGCCCTTGTTCCAACGGCACAGGAGTGCCGGATGATTCCATGGGAGCAGGTGGTGGCCAGGACTTCCCCTTGGACTACAGAGCCGCGGGAGGTGATCCCGGGGCTGGGGAGGGTGAGGATGTGTGTCCTGGTGCAGAGAATTCCCCCAGGAGTGACAGAACGGACACGGAGATGGTGGGTGACACTCCACAGGAGCCAGAGATGCCTCTCCATTCCCCCCTGGAGTCAGAGCCCTCCTCCTTGGAGAGGGAAGGGATGTCAGCCGTGGAGGAGCTCCCCGGGCAGCGGCGGAGCTTCCCACACAGCCCCTCCCCATCCAGCCCTGGATACTCAGCTCCTGCTTCTCCTGCTTATCAGGAAGACACAGAACCCCCCAGCTCGGAGCAGAGCCCGTGGGAGCCAGCCCTGGGCCAGCCCTGGAATTCCTGGGAGGAAGGAGGCACTCCAGAGGGGAGTGTGGGTGCCTGGAGCCTGGAGGGCTCCATAAATCCCAGATGTTCCGGAGGGGTGATAAGATACCCTGCTCCGCGCCCCGTGGGGCGGGCACGGGGCTCCCCTGTGGATGTGCTTCCAAGGGAGCCAAGATCCAGGTCTCCTCCTCCACACAGTCTCCAGGATGGTCTCCACGGTGCCGAGCCAGGCTCAGTCCTGGATGTGTGTCCCAGGATGGTCCCTCCCGGCACGGATCCGGCTCCGGACGATGCCTCGTGGCCCTGCTCCCCCTGTGCCAGCCCCGGGAGCCAAAGGGAGGAGCCCATCCCGCCTGAGGACTGGGAAAGAAGAAGCATCCCTGTTTCCAGTGCTCCATCTTCTCCAGAGGGGAATTTGCTCGATCCGTGGCACGAGCCCCACTCTGCTTGGGATGACAGCGGATCCGAGGAATTCCCTGATCCCGGGGATGAGGAATCCGAGGCATTCCCTGATCCACACCGTGCCAGCAGGGACATGGGATCCGAGGCATTCCCTGATCCGCACCGTGCCAGCGCAGAGGTGGAGGAGAGGGAAATCCTCACTTCCCCCATCCCTGCGTTGCCGTTCCGCGAGCACAGGGATCCCTCTGGAGAAAGGCTGGAGTTCAGCGATGCTGAGGACGCTTTGGACACGTTCCCGAGGGCACAGCAGCTCCTCAGCAGGGACACACGCAGGGCCGTGGCCTTTCAAGATCCATTGGACCTTTCATCCAGCGACTCCGAGCAGGAATATTTTGGGAGGAACCCACACCCCCCACTTCCAGCCAGGGCTTCCCACGGCACGAGATCCATGGATGCCGCAGGCACCAGGACAAACGGCAATGACTCCTCTGTGGAGGGGCAGGGAGATGGCTGGGGCCAGGGCGTCTCCAGGGATTCCCGGCGCTCCGTGATCACCCGGCACCGCCGGGAGAGGCCTGGGAATTCCCAGACTCCGAGGAGGCGGCGCCGCCGCCCGGGGGAGTCCCATTTGTTACGGAACAACTTGCTGGGCGACTGGAGGGGCTCCGAGGAGCTCACCCAGAACACCCTGGACATGGAGTGTCTCCGTTTCCATTATAAGCTAAACCAGGTCCTTGGGAATAGGAAACCACCCTTTTCTACCTCCGAGAGCATCTTCCCAAGAGACTTTTCCCGGCGGGACCCTCCGGCCCTGCCATCCGCGCAGGGCAGGAGCCCCTTGCAGGTGACCATCCCACCCTCGCACACGTGGCCGGGCCGGAGCAGATCCCGCCGGCAGAGGGGCTGGCACGAGGAGGACACCCCCGGGGACACCAGGGGGAGATCCCCATCCCGCTCCCGACCCCCCTTCCACCTCGGGAAGCTCCGCCAGGACGGCCGGCCGCTGGATTCTCCGGGGGACGTCACCGTCGTCCTGGACGAGTATTCCGAGTTGCCAAGGGTGGTGCTGAGCAGGGCGGACGCCGGGAAGGAGGGCGGAGGGCACGGAGAGCCCCGGGATGCGGGGCCAGGCCCGTCCCGGCGCGGGAGGCCGGCGGCCTTCCAGGGCGTGATCGGGGAGCTGTGCGGGGCCCTGCACTCCCACCTGCGCCGCGTGGCCTCCGAGGCCTCCACGCACCCGGGGATGTTCTACCTGGTGGAGACGGGCAAGGAGCCGTTCTTCGAGAGGGTGAAGGTAAGAGGAGACCCCCCCGGAGAGGGACTGGGGGGAACTGAGGGGCAGGGACAGGTGGCACGGCCTGGCACAGGCGGTTTGGGTCCCCTGAGGCAGGAGCTGCCTCTGCCACTGCCCAGGAGTCGTTGGGGGTGGGTAACGCCCTTAAGGTGGAGTCATCCTGGAATCGTGGAATGGGTTGGGTTGGAAAAGAGCTTGAAGGTCATCCAGCCCCCTGCCGTGGGCAGGGGCACCTCCCACTGTCCCAGGTTGCTCCAGCCTGGCCTTGGACACTTCCAGGGATCCAGGGGCAGCCACAGCTTCTCTGGGAAATCCAGTCCCTCCCCACCCTCCCAGCCAGCAATTCCTTCCCAATATCCCACCTAAAATGACTCTCTCTCTGAGTTTCAAGTCCAACTATTAACCCACCACTGCCCCATGTCCCCAAGTGCCACATCCACAGGGATTTTAAATCCCTCCAGGGATGGGTGCTCCACCCCTGCCCTGGGCAGCCCCTTCCAATGCCTGGCAACCCTTTTTGGTGACTAAATTTTCCCTGATATCCAACCTCAACCTCCATTGGCACAGCTTGAGGGCATTCCTTCTTAATCCTGCCAGCTGAACATCCCCCCGGCCAAAGCAGGGAGTGGGAGTTCAGGCAGCCCAGGCTGGGAATTCTGGGAAGGGGGATTCCACGGGAGGATTAGCAAAGAAGCCCCATCCATGTGAGAGGCTCCATGTGGTTTTCCATAAGGTTTTTAGGGATGAAGGTCAGTGGTTTCTTCACTGGGTGGAGCCCCAGCAGTGCTTGGACAGCCACCATCCCATCCCATCCCATCCCATCCCATCCCATCCCATCCCATCCCATCCCATCCCATCCCATCCCATCCCATCCCTCTCCCCGTGTTCCCGTGTGTGCCTGGAGATGTTCCCATGCCAACCTGAGGAGGGTTTCTGTTGCAGGCCCTGCTGAGGAAGGAGGGTTGGGTGAGGACGGAGCCGTGGAGCTTCTGCGGGGGGAGGCACCGGGCGGGCGACCAACTGCTCGTCATCATCCGCAACGAGGACATCTCCTCCCACATCCACACTGTAAGACCTCCATCCCGCTCCCTTCCCTTCTCCCAGGCTGCTCTTTAATCCCTTGGGAAGGCTGGAGTAGCTCCAGCTCAGAGGAGCGAGGCCGGGCCTCTCTCCTCGGGAATGTCGGATCGCCGTATCCGCGGCTTTCTGGGGTCGGGCTGTGGGGATGGGATGATGCAGAGAAGGTTCCCCCGGGTCTCACGGCAGCCTCTGTGCCTCGAGCAGATCCCGGGATTGCTGGAGCTGAAGCGCTGTCCCGGCGTGGTGTTTGCCGGGGTGGACAATCCCGAGGATGTCACGGGTCACATGTACCAGGAGCTGTTCCACACCGGGGGCTTCCTGGTGTCCGACCACCACGTGTTGGAATCCATGTCTCTGGGTGAGTCTTGGGCCTCTCACCTGGACACAAGCATGGTGGTGTCCCTTTCCTTCCCTTCCCTTTGGCCTCGTCCACTGGTTTACTGTCACATTCCCAAACCTTTCCGTCGGTCCTCTGCTCCGCCTTGGAGTGGGGAAATCCGTGTCCTGTGTTGGACATTTGGATCCCATCTGGATAACGGGTCCAGGTCAGGGGTCCCCAAAAACATCTGAGTACAGTGGAGGGTTGTACAAAGACATTCAGCCTGGAGAATCATGGAATTATGGAATGGGTTGGGTTGGAAGGGACCTTAAAGGGCATCTTGGCCACGGGCACGGACACCTCCCACTATCCTAGGTTGCTCCAACCTGGCCTTGGACACTTCCAGGGATCCAGGGGTAGCCACAGCTTCTCTGGGAATTCCATTCCAGCCCCTCCCCACCCTCCCAGCCAGGAATTCCTTCCCAGTATCTAATGGAAAAGGGAGGACAAAAGAAATGGGAAGTGGCAGAGAAAACTTGGCCACGCTCCTGGGGCTGCACAGCCAAGGGACAAGAGGTGACAGGGACAAGTTGCACTTATTTCAGGTGTTAGTGGGAATAAAATCTCCACCCAGCAAGGCAAAATCCCAGTTTTCCCAACCCAGGCTGGGAGTCTCCATCCCTGGAGAGACTCCAACCTCACCCTGCTGCTCTGGTGTCCCCCCAGGCCGGCTGAAGGAGGTGGTGAAGGTGCTGGAGAAGCTCAACAGGAGCGGGAGGTGGAAGTGGCTCCTTCACTACAGGGAGAGCAAGAAGCTCCGAGGAGACCTCAGGTAACGGCTCTGCCGGGGCAGGGTGGGTTCCAACACCCCTGGGAGGTGGAGCAGCAGGAACTGGGATCTGGAGGGGATGGGGCAGGTTGGGTTCCAACATCCCTGGGAGGTGGAGCAGCAGGAACTGGGATCTGGAGAGGATGGGGCGGGTTGGGTTCCAACACCCCTGGGAGGTGGAGGAGCAGGAACTGGGATCTGGAGAGGATCAGCTGGGCTGAAATGTTGTCTGGGATGTGATCCCAGACCAGGCACCCTGCTGCACCTCCATGAGGGCACTTCCCTCTCTCAGGGAGTGTTACAGCCTGGAAGGGCTTGAGGAGAGGCACAGGTTTCCTTGGAGGAGCTGCACATTCCCAAAGCAAACTGAGCTCCCTCCCCACCAGCTCATCCCAGCTCCACACTCCGGGAGCTCAGAGCACCTTCCTGGGCTTCCCCCACATCTCTCTGCTGTTTCTTCTCTGTCCCATCCCAGGTGGGATTTGGGGGAGGGATGAGGAGCCCCGAGTTGATGCAGAGGAGGAATTGCCACCACAATTCCCACCCCTGGTCCCTTTGGACCGTTGTGATGAACTCCCCTCGTCTTCCAGCTCGGAATTACCCATGGGCTGCATCCCTCAGGGTGTGCCTGCTCTGAGTGGAGCCTTATCCATGGGCCACAGCGTCTCCAAGGATTTATTCTGCTGTGGCATAGACTGACCCACAGCCACAGCTGCCTTGAGGTGGCCCTGTTCCTTCCTGGCCTTGTATCCATGAGTGACAATTCCTGCAGCACTGGACTTGCTCCGGCATGGCCACGATCCCTTCAGGAGTGTCCCTGCTCCAGCATGGCCTTATCCCAGGCTGAAGTCCCTGGGATTATCCAGCATGAGAAAGCGAGGAAAACTCATGGATTGGGACAAAGACAGTTTAATAGGGAAAGCAAAGCTGTCACAGCAGCAAGAACAAGGATTTCATTCCCTGCTTCCCATCCCAGGCAGGTGTTCAGGCTCCATCACGGGAACAAACAGCGTCGTTCCAAACATCCCCCCCTTCCTTCTTCTCCTCCCAGCTTTATATCCTGAGTGTGATGCCAGAGGGTCTGGATCCCGAGGGTCCCTCAGGATCAGCTGTCCCTGCTGTGTCCCCTCCCAGCTCCCTGTGCCCCCCCAGACCTGGTGGGGAAGGGGGAGCAGGGAAGGCCTCGGCTCTGCCAAACCCTGATTTCCCAACAGCTCCCAAACCCAAACCACAGGGATAAAAATGAACCCATTCCCAGCCCAAACCAGCCCAAACCAGCCCAAACCAGCACAAACCAGCACAAACCAGCACAAACCAGCACAAACCAGCACAAACCAGCACAA